ATTTCCCTTTACAGCCTCACAGTGCTCGAAAAGTCAAAAATAATGAGTTGGTACAAAAGAAACAACGTGATATTTAAATAAAGGAGAATCTGTGGCACATTAGAGGTAAAACCACAGGACGATGATCAGCTGATCAGAATCAAAGCTGCATAGAATCAGTATCACTAATCTCTAATGTAGAGAAGAGACTTTGGAAGATCATGTGCTGTTTCTACTTTTGATCAAAACACCCAGAATCCCTTTTCCTCTGGTGGATTGTACACAAACGAGCCCTCCAGTTAAACTTTGGAGGAACAAACTGAACAAACTCTGCATGGAACCAAAAGTGAAGCTCAAGCCCGCATTAGGTTTTTTCAGGTTTAAATTATTGACACATTGTTAAAGTGATTTAATCCAGATTGATACAAAACATCTGCGTCATGTAAATTCTGAAGTTTTACAGATAATAAAAGAAAAAGCTTCTTGAATTCATAATTCTGGAATTACAGGAAAACAGCAGCTGCATTAAAGTTAATGACTCCAGAAAATTCTAATTTTTAAAAGAAGTAACTTTCTTTTTTCACTTCACATTTATTTCGGGGAATTTTTACCGTAAGCAAACATTTCATCTTCCTGCTCCTCTTTGGTTTTTTGGCAGCAGGATCACAAAAAAACCACAAAGCAGATTTCCAGAAAAAGGAGCAGACTTCTTATTGCTTTCTTTAACATTAACTGTTTTTAATTTTCTTTGATTTCTCAGAATAATTCACGATGAAAACAATCAGACTGATATTTATGGGTGTGTGTGATTTGGTGTACATTTGAATTAAACAGTTATTTTCTAAAAGCTGGACACATCTGAACATCTCTTTCCTCTTGTCACACGATCTTGAAACACATGACATGACGGCAGATGATCGTTCCAGTCGGGAGAATAATTTTTTAAGTATTTAAAAATAACGAAACCTGAATGAGACCTGAGCTTCAAGCTTCTGGAAACAAAACAACGGAAACCTGGGTCACTAAGCAGAGTTCACACTCCAGAGTGACACCGTCCCTTTATCACAGCAGAGAATAAAAACCTCTGAGGAAGAACATTGATGAGAAACGATGCATCACAGCTGTTTGACAAAACACGGTTCTTCACCTCAAGGATTAAAAGTAATAAATATATTTCAGTGACTCGGTCAATATACAAGAATACAATAAGATACTTCAAATATCAAAAAATATTATTACTCGTTACTTAGTGATAAAATAAAGGATTGTGAAGCAAGAAGGCAAAGTGTAAAAACAACAGACTGTTTCCTCCAGCAGGAAAATGCATAATTTTTATAATGATCCAGGTAAAATGTTCCTCATGTTTCTAATCAGTTAAATGTTCATCGTGGAAACAGAACAAATATTGGAGTGAAAGACAAATGACGACTTTCTTCTATTTCTACCTGAACTGTTACGTTTTGATTCACCGATACTCCGTAATATTCTATCATTCGTTTTTTGAACTGTTTTACAACCATGTTTCAAAATAAGCAGCACAGAATAAAAAAAATCAAGTGTTTTTATTTTGATTGATCTGATTTTTCTTCACTCAGTGAATACTTCGTCTTTAAACGTCTGATAATGCCCAAGACAACAATTCAAACTGTGCAAGGTTTGGAACGAGTGCAAGCACAGAGCCGAAGATTGAGTTTGATGTAAAGTTTACGTTTGTCTCCTTTTCTCAGTTTTCTTCGGAGAACAAACTTTTACTAGAACACACTTTGACCTGGAGTTTTTTCCTCCGCTGCAGTGATGAGACATTTCATTAAACGTTATTGCAACATGTGAGTCACATTAAATCTCATTTGATCAGAGCTGTTGTGTTTGTCGTTCTGATCGTTCACTGTGAACTCACTTCCTGTTCCTTGAATAAAAGTATTCGAGGACAATCTCAAGTCAACATTCATGACTTCAACGATCTCATCTTTCAGTTTGGAACTAAAATAGTTTCAGTATTAGTTTGGTTTGAAGTCAGATTTTAAAACGGTCGTGTTGAGCTTCCAGGACTCAAATCTGTGCAGCCGGAGTTTGTTCAGAAACAGAAACGTCAAAGAAACAAGCAGGTGGCGCTCACAGTGTGTCGTCACTTTGGTGTTTGAAGGAGGGAGAGAACGATGCAGCTCTCTGGTCCGTTGAGCCAGGCATCACCAGACCAGCTGTCCCACCAGTGTCTGCATCAAGAGCAGGGAGGAGAGGGCTTCCTCAGAGCCTTTGAGCCAGGCATCGTTACGATCCTACTCTAACACTGGAGATGAAAATGGAGGGAGTGGTGTGCCGCAGTGCTCATGAGCCTGGCACTGCTACAACTGCTGCTGCTGCACCAGGCGTCTGTAATGTGGCAGCACTTTGCTCTCAGGGAGGTACAGCGCCATCTCCAGGGCGACCAGGATGGTGAACTCAAAGAAGATCAGCTCCCTCCTGCTGATCCTGAAACGCTCCTCCAGCTTCTGCAAAGACAGAAGAAGAAGATGAGAAATAAGAAGATGGAGGAAGAAGATGAAGAAGGAAAAGATAGAGAAGAAGAAGATGGAGGAAGAACAGACAGAAGAAGATACAGGAAGAAGATGGATAAGAAGAAGATGGAGGAAGAACAGAC